CAGTAATCTATAAAGAACCTTTGTTGGCTGACTAGCAACGTAACGATTAAAATCCAGTGACATGAACTCAATCTAGGTTAAGCTCGAAAGTTGGCTCACATGGCAAACAATGATTCATAATATATTTCTTCTTCCTGCTAGGTTGGTTAAGAGCAGGTTTATTAATGAATATCAATTTAGCAGTTAGCATATTTTGAACTTGTTTAGAAATCTATATAATCACACCCGGTGAGATTATCTCCAAGATGCTCTGGATAACTGTTTCGCAGTGCGGACCCCTCGGTTTTTAGTATATCCGTTCTTGGAGTAATATACACTGAAAATTCATCACAAAGCCGGAGTCTGAATAATATTGTTATCAACAATGGGGTTACGTGTACGTATTGAAAGAATCAGCAAACTGAACAATCCAGAAGGGAAATATATTTATGCATAAATCGATAGCGGACTTTTTAGAAAACTGGGGAAAAATCTTGTTTACCTTGATTGATTCCAAAGAAATGATAAGTTTGAACAGTTATTCTAAACACAGAAAGAATTCCATGTGACTGGAATCTTATAGCAAATAAAAAACTGAACACTTTCGTGTTTTTTTGTGTATCGTACCAGTGATACAGATCACTTCATATTATTAAGTAATACTTATGTCTAAGCAGAGATAGTGTTATTTTAGTTGATGGCAATCAACAGTATGCGTATATCATCCTATTTAAGACTAATGAGTTGGATATGCCTGCATTCCCGGTGAGTAATGGTGTTCCTACTGTGATTCGAACCCTACACCTATCGTTTCAAACACTGGAGCATTATCCACAAGAGCAATACGGTATGTCAACATACACCGAGCATTTCGGTAGTACATAATCAATCTACGGGGAATGAAAATTGACCTAAAATAGAAATATCTGGTGTTTATAGCTTTCTAGGGAACAATTGGTAATAATAATAATCACTTTATTCCATACAATGATACTAAACAGAATGCGATTTCCAATATTTTTGTCTTGCAACACATGTACTTCCAGTGAGAAATAGAATTAGAAGAAATAAGCATGAAATCTGCAGTTTGTGCTAGCTAACTCAAACTTAATGATAAAGTATTCAGACAGACAAAAATTATAGTGTGGTATTTTCAGTGAATGAATTTGAAATATTTATTATTCTAAAATTCCTTAGCTAAATTTCTTTTTCTTTTAGTCTTCTTTCTGTCTATAAACAATAAAACATCACAAATTATTTTTGCAATCCTAATACTTAACTCAAGAGTCTGCCTTACTATTAATTATATTAACTGGTATTATCAGTTATTGTGGTTATCGGATAATATAATGAGATAAGACGAATTCAGCATCCCACTGGAAGTTTCATTAGTAGGCCATCATGAAGTTCAAGTGTCATTCGCTTTAGGAATGGGGGAGCGGGTTGGACTTAGAAATATCCTACGTAAGTAAATTTGCTTCATCCTATTCAAAAATATTACTCAGTATAATTCAGATATTTTTAAACATTCGGATTGTGAAGATTTCATTGATATCAAGATGTAGTTTCATACCGAACCGACAACATTTAGAGAACTACTGGAAACTAGGCAGAACACTGGACAGTTGTCTCGTCCTAGTTTGAGACCCTTAAGCTGTAGATACCCTGAGCCTGATCCCGATCGCAAGTAGAATTCAGGACTGATTAGTATCACATCAATACATACTTTAGACTTCACATTAGCACAGAGTTGTCCTTATAGTTTCTTCACACGTATCTTATTCCTAGGCTTCAAAGGTTTTCTCAAAGAAGTCATGCAGCTGTGTAACACATGGAAAGATATGTCACTTGCGAGTGATCGACAACCGGTGACATCCTAAGGACGTGTCTCCCGTCGCCACTTCTGATTAATTTTTTTACATTTATATATGTTAATGGAAATGACTATAATCACCCAAAACACATCATGAATCAGTCTTGTCTGGAAGGCTTTTCGTTAGCCTGAGACATGCAATCGAAATAGGTCTTTTGAGTGAATATGCTACCGAAGTCTATTGAACGCCTTGAGCATGTTTGACATCAGTTTACACTGCAAGACTGGTTTATACTGAGGTAAACTTAACAATAGGAAGTGAAATTTGTTGAGTCACTTCATTTGTGTCTAAGTTACATCTTCACTAGAGAACTGCTAATGTGACAGTTGCATAGTAATTGTAAACTGATGTCATCTATGGTACTGTAGAGATACCTGACTCCTTATTCGACGGAGAATACGCTGTTTTTTGCTTTTCACGAGGACCATGTACTCTTAGTTTTATACGCACAAAAATGTTGGATGTTTTCATCATAAATAATGTCAAAGGATTATTCAAGTGAAGTGTTTACGAAAACACTTGACTTGTTTGTGGAGGTACATCAATGAATACAGCTCGGATATAAGTAACTTACACCCAAAGATCAACAAATCCAACATGCGACGGTAACTGAGACAGGCATTTATTCAAAGAAACTTAAGGATGGTGAAAAAAGTAAATGACGGTTGGTGTGGATAGTTCTTTAGCAAAATTTATCGCATATTAGTCCATACCATGTCGTTCATTAGACATATCACGGTGAAACAGCAATATTTACTGGTTGATGTCTTGAATACAATTCAGTGTTCGTAGTGATACCAAATGTAACACTACATCCTTGATACCTACTGCGTTATCTCTTTTTGTTACCATTATTATTATTCCCTTCGGTTCCGAGTGGAACATAGGGCTTCAACAACACATCTCCACTTTGTTCTATCTTCTATTGTCTTCTTCAGCTGGGCCCACGATCCTCCCACAGTCTCCTCAGTGTCGCCCTTGGACGACCCACTAGTCACTTCCCATCGGGATTCTGCTCGAGGGTCTGGTGCGTGATATCATTCAACGGCCTCCTCAGAATGTGCCCAATCCATCCCCATTTTCCTCTGCATATTTGTTCAGCAAATGGTTCTTGGTTGGTTTGTTTCCAGAGTTTCTTGTTGCTAATTCTTTCTTACCGGCCTTTTGATCTTCAGTATGAAACGAAGGCAGCTATTGATAAAAGTCTGTAACCTGTTGGAAATCGTTTTCATAACGCGCCAGGTTTCAGACCCATATAGAATAACTAACTTCACATTTGAGTTGAAAATTCGAATCTTGTTCTTTATGCTGAGTGCAGAAGATTTCCAAACCCATTTCAGGTTGATGTTGTTGGAGTTTTCTAATTTTACAGGAATCTGGAGCAAATTAATGTGCGCGCAATAGGAATGATGCAAAACACTTTTTTGGATGTCTTGAAAGTTATAATACTATTAGGAGAACAATGGAAATAAAATTAGAACGATGAGGACCAAATCTCAATATTGATATGTTTATGAACAATAAATTGTGTACTGTTCCACTCTGTGATATTTGTAATAGACAAACTAATATGAAATAACATACAGCTAGGTGTCCAAGTCCTACTCTTATATTATCGTATTTCTCCTTTCCCTCCTCAAAATATTAAGCATACTGTAAATATCTATTTCCTATTTTGTTATAACACATACTCCTCGAAGTGATTTCTTTGCACTCTTGTAGCCAGTTTTATTCATTTTCAAAGAACACTTTCAGTCATTGAACGACTCAAATCCTATGGTATGAAAGGACTTGAAATATGTGGCTTCATAAGTCTGAGACTAGACTCAGGCTGTTGAAGAAATGTGTTGAACCTACACAATTGGCTTATCATAACAGCTTCAACCAATTATTGAAGTGTCTGAACTGCTGAATTCTGGCTAGATATGGTAACTGGTGCGAGGTAATAAAAATGTAATAATTACAGCCTAACAGCACAAGACACGTCGCTAAGTTACTCAGATAAATTAGAGTAAACTTGTTTGAATTCAACTTCACTTATAATCAATCTTGACCCCACCAATCATGCTCAAATTATTTAGGGAGGACTCATCGATCTCTGCAAATAAGGGCTGGCTTCAGAGCATATTCCTAAATGGCTCCAGAAGCAAATAGAATCTTCAGAACCCACTAATGGTGAGAACAGGAGACCTAGCTCCTCTATTGCGAAACATATTATAGAGACAGGACATAAAATTGACGTTAATACATCTTTTAAACCTATCTATAAAACGTGTTTGGGGGAGGGCGTATCCTAAAGTTTATGGAAGCCCTAGCTGGCAATTAGAAAGTTTAAACCACCTTTGTGTGTTCAAAACAACAATTCTTTATCGCACTAAACCTTCCTTGGTAAACCTTGTTTTGATACCAGCCAAGGTAGATGTACTAATACCTCTGTTATTTGGTTTAGGGATCTTTATTGTTATTTTGACCTTCAATATGTCCTTTCAACTTGACCTAAGTCTATTTTCTCACCCGTTAACTCTTTATTAATTTCATATCTATTCCTATGACAAGTCCGTGTGTGATAAGATTGTTCGAAATGTGTTGCGCAAATACATTACACGATTCAGACAAATTACGTCTTCTTATTGCTTTGTCTAAATTCATAAAGGGAACTAATTGTTTTAAATAATTGTTATTTGTTAAATAGAACAAACAGTCATAAAGATTAACAGTCAATAGCTGGATTAAGACTTTTTTACGACCAATGTCAGCATTCAACGAAATTAAAGAAAGATTCGAAAAGATCCAGCCTGGTGGTCTCCCAGTTGTTGCTAGGTTATTCAAATACAGTAGAATAATGGTCTCTATGCATTTTGAATGACTTAGTGCCATGCCTTTTACCGTAAACCAAAGATCAAACATTTGAGATATGCCTTAAATGTGTGATGGACTGTACGACACGGTAACAAGATTAGATCAAGAACTTTAAGCTAGATAAACCAGACCATACGCTTAAGTTGATTAGGGAATTTGTCATCAATACTAATAAAATGGGCTATCACCCACCTTGTCGGTGTACTTTAAACCAAAGTCAAACATGATTGGTTATCAATATCATTTGGTTTTGGTGAAATGATAATCTGTAAACATGAAAGGTTAGTTTGTACTATTTCCACCTTGTTATAAGACAATTTATGCTTTGAAATATAAGCTCAGCACACACACACACAAAGAATGTCAACGATACACATAATGATTATTGACACTGTACAGGTAGCATCAGTTGTTTAAAAAGGTCAAAACTACTGTTTAATTTTTTTTATTAAATATAATGCACTTTTATTCATATGTACATGCTGATTACTCCTTTAATGTAATAGTCGATAGATTAAGAGAGTAGTAAGATGACAGGAGACTATACAATGGTTACGTTATTTCAATAATACAGTTTCATTTTTTCACTTTGTGTTTGCCTTCACGTTTTTTGACCTTTTTCTCTTTCGTCTTTTTTGTCTTCTTTTTCATATTTTTAGTTGAATAAGAAGTAGTAATCGGTGTTTTTTTATCGGTGGAATTCGATTGGTGAACATATGATGCCTTAATTTTATTTTTCTTTGGTTTTTTTGTTTTACACTCAAAAATTCTTATCGGTCGTCCACGTACAGTCAATGTATTCGATGCACGTATAGCCAATGGTATGTAGGATGGATCAGTGAATGTTGCATAACCGAATCCACGTACTGCACCAGTTTGATTATCACGGATTAAGCGTACACTGGCCAATGAGCCTAATGAAGATAAAGCATTGTAAATCTAAAGGATAAAATGGAAGATAAAGGAAAATAATTCAGTAGAGTAAATTGATGAGGTTATACGTGGCAATTAATGCCTAAACATTATATATCAGTAATGTAGGAGTAGAATTTAGCCACTATGGTATAATCCCATATTAGAAAAGTTTATTTGATGTAATACACAGTGAGTGATACAGTATTCCTTACTGGATGATGTTTCGAGCACAATTTGTTGCTCAAAATCACATTATTGTATTCTCATACAACTTCCTAATCTTACTGCCTCCTTTTTTTGTTGCGGTTCTCCACATTTCTTATGTAGGTGTTGAGCCATTTCAATTTCATGTGTCTGGTGTTCATTCGATGAACAAAGATTGCGTGACTAACCTTTCTCTTCGCCCAACTGTATTACCTATTGCTATTTTTACTCTGTTGTGTGATGACGTGCAGCAAGTGAATGCATTGCAATGGCTGCACTTTTTTCCAAATTACTTAATTTATCAGGGTCGATCATCCTAGATCTAGATAGTCTAACTGACCTCGGCTTACTAGTTTGACTTATGTAATTGACCTCACAATGATTGCATGATATTTAGTAAATTATAAAACTTATCCTAGTTGGATCTATCGCGACCTTAAGCCGACAAAGTTTGTTTTTCAGTGAGCTGGTTGGTTTAAATGCCACAATAATTCCATCTTTACTAAGAATCCTACAGAGCGCTTCTGATATTTCGAATTTATATGGCAGTACTTTCGAGGTTTTGAGTTTTTTTACTATTGATGTTATTTCCATTATTTCCGTTACTACTCTTATTTTTCTTAAGGATTTTCATACATTTTTGAACTGAATTTATATGTGTGAAGAACTCAAAGATTATTTTAGATTTCAGCACAGTGAATGCATCGTCCACAGATTTACGTTACCAACTTTCTAAGTATGTCTGCTACTAATAAACTTAAGACATACCGTATCCACAATGCTCAAACTTTTTACTGATATTAAGACATACCCTTTACAATGGTGTAAAGAAGAATGTCATTACTTTAGTATCACTTTTCAAAAAAGACACAGAAATTAAGGTATAATTGATACTGGTCCAGTAAATAAGAAAAAAGTTGAAATCGCATTGTCCAGAAGTGAAATCTTCACTTCTAAAAGGCTGGACGATAATAAAAGTGAAGTACTCAGATGCCTGTGATTCATTCTTTACATATCTTTCTCATCGTTTAACTAGTTGATTATTAATATTTATGTACTATATGACATAGTTGTCGGTGTGAACACTAAATAACACTGCAAGATACATTATCTTGGATCAAGATTAGTAATATAGACAAAATCAGAACCGGCTTTATAAGGATAATTAAGATAAGAATGATGACTACGGCAGTGTGTTATTCGTGCATGTTAGTTAGAATTCGGTTAATTCCAGAGTCTGAAGTTGGTGAAGAGGGACCAGAACCCGGGACAAATAGGTTGGAAACCGATTACTAGAATCAGTAAGCCACATCTCCACTTCATGTTCGAATTTTGAACCCAATAGTAGAGGCTTTCTGTTTATTCATTGTAATATATCTCAGAGAAAGGCTGTTAACAAAGCTAAGAAGTTAAACACCCTGAAGTAAGTTTTTTTTAGGCGCGAAGTCCTCTATTTATTCCTAAAAGGAACAAAATATGCATGCTGCATCCCACTGGTACTCACCATCCACCAAATATTCGCTTTAGTTGTTACATAGTTATCGAAGAACCGTTCAAAGGCGTATTTTCATTCGATAATCTTGTTTTATTCTTTTCGTTTCATCTTTTCGTGATGATGATGCATAAGATTATAACCGTAAGTGGTCAGCTTAAGCAAGAAGTTTAACACAGGTTCTGTTTGTATCATTCCCAAATAACTTCACTTCTTAATACAGTGAATGTTAGTAAACTATAAGACAACAAAAAATACAATAATTAAGCTAAATATACGCTAACCTCTTCTTCAGTACAATCGAATGGTAGATTTCCTAAGAAAACACAATTATCCGGTTTATAGTTCGTTTTATTCTTTATTGCACAGTCAACTCGAATATGATATTTACAATCTTGATTGGTTGAATCTGTTGCATCACCAGTCGATTCTTCAGGGTTAAAAACAGCACCATTTGAGTTCAAACAGCATCCATTCAAGGTAAGAGCTGCCTGTATGCCAATTTTAGAAGTTAGTACAACATAACCAATACGAAATTTGGACACGCCTAATTGTTAGAAAAATGAGATAATGAATTATCAAACACTTGATAGTATAATTGAGTGAAGTGATAGCAAAATTCATATATATATATATAATTATATATCTACATAATATTTAGTGAGCATTTTATTGTGATATGCATTGAAAATTAAAGAGTACGAATTGAAGGGAGACTAGTTAACCTGATTACAAGCTAGTCCCTCAGTTAGGTTTGCTAAACTGTTTTCAATTGATTATTATTCCTTTGGGTTCCGAGTACAGCATAGATCTTCAGTAGCACAACTCCATTTAGCTGCAGTCTTTTTCAGCTGGCTCCACGACTATGCGTAAGTAATTATCTCCTCCATGTCAACCTCGGACGACTAACTTCTCGTTCCCCATTCGGGTTACACTGGAGGGTTTGGCAGGTGATGTCACTAACAACGATTTGCTCAGTATGTGTCCAACCTATTTCCACTTTTTTTCCACTCTTGTTTGGTTTGTCGCCTGTCAGAGCTCCTTATTGCTTATGCTTTCAGACCGTCTGATTTTCAGTATAGAGAGAAGGCAGCTACTGATAAAAGTCTGCAGACCGTTGGAGATCCTCTTCGTGACGCGCTATATAGAAGCCACTGACTGACTTAACATAAGTGCTGAAAATCTGGATCTTTTTCTTTATGTTCAGTGCAGTAGATTTTGATACACGTTTCTGATTAACGAAGGTTTGTCTTGCATTTCCGATCTTGCCTTTGACATCCTCATTAACTTTAATTAAGGAGATTTGCCCTAGATATACTATACTATGACGACGTATTAAATAAACACCTTAACTAATAATCACCCACAAGGCAATCCGGCAGTTTGAATCTAACTTATAGCTTCATTAGTCGGTCATATCTTTCATGGTATTTCTGTATATCAAGTGAAATTATATCGTTGATCGATTCCAAGAACTTTCATAAAAATATTGTTTGCAAAGACAACTTAAGACATAGTTCTCTCAATGTTTATGAACGGTGTATTATGCTAAAATATATGCAGAAACACACCGTGACTGGTTACTATGGTGCTATTTCGTCTAGTCGCGATTCTAACATTAAAGTGTGCCATGTATTCCCCCAACTGGGAAACGTCTTATTCCTGTACAATTTGAAGTGATACTGGGTGGTTAGAGTTAGCAGGCGGGGACATATTGAACCCAAGTTTGGAAGACTTTATAAACTAAGAAATACGTTTACCATATTTCTCTGGCTTGAAATCACCAATGTTATCATGTATCGATGAAGAGTATGAACTCAACATCTTGAACATTTTCAAATTGTAGACTTCACAGACTCACGAAAAAGAGAGTTGGGAAGAGTTGGACACTTTACCAGTGTCTAGATAAAGGGATTTAAACTGAGCTGAGTTCGTTTATGGGGAAGTTTTTTCAGTGATATACTAATTACCAACCTCAAATGAATTTCTCACCGAGAGTCTCCAGACATATTGATTCTTAACATCTTGAGAACACTCGACTAGACAGCCTATACCTCCCGATGTGGTTCGAACACACAGTCAAGGACTTTCTTTGTCCCACTGTTAACCGTTAAATATGACAACCACCAAGTATGACGAAGAGAACTGACGTATAGCCCGCACTTTCTTAGGTGGATAGATAGACAATAAGTCTGGGCCAAAGATGACGCAAGCTAGGTGAATGCCATACTAACCTTTTCTATCCGCACTGAGATTTTGTCAGTTGGCATGACTCCCAAGATATGCCAAGTGGTAAACACATTCCACCACTTTACTCCCTATTCGTAAACGAGGAGTAGTTTCATCTATGAGTAACTACCTGAAGAAATGTGACTGAACTTAAGCAGTTAACCGGAAGGCGTAGAAACACATCTCTCAAAGTGAACAAACTGGCAAAGGGTTGCCGGTGGTGAGGCCGAAGGAAATCTTTAGTTATTTGTATGAGTTGCGTACAGAAGAAGTTACTACACTGAAATCCGCAGGACTTCAAGAATTAATAATTAGAATATCATAGTGACACGCCTTGAAATCATTCAAGATTATTCAGATTGTATTTATTGTTTGTTGTCTCCTAAATTTTATACATGTTCACTGATCTTCATTTTGTTTTTGTCTGCCCCACAGCCATATATGTACATTGTTGTAGTATTATTCCACTTGTTCTTTCACCCCATATGCCAACTGAAGTGACTTCTACGCGCAGTTTAACGTCAGTCAACCAGTCAGTGTAGGTTACCTGGTTCGAGTCAACGCAATAACACGAACCTATAGTTAGACTCTAGGTAATACGATTGGAGACTGACCTCAGTGACGCGGATGCATTTACATTTTATCTTCTCACTTTTAATATCATACTTTTCACTTGGTTTATCTTTTCTCCTTTTGTACTGAAACCAACTACGATTCTTACATTATATTCATTTCAATGTCTTCCTTGTTACTGCTTTCTGTTTAAAGTGCAGGAAGAAAGCATGGCAAACTGAAACACTATGCTGATAGAGTCTTCTAATCTGTCAGTTAAAATAACTTGGAAGTCTATTTGTTGGAGACTGACATCGAAAAACCTTACTGGCGTATTTCAAAAGTACACATTAGCAGTTCTTCTGATCAAAAGTCCGACTGGCAACTTTTTGAGGTCGCTCAAATACAACCTTCATGAAAATACATAGTTTTGTAGTTTTTTGGGAGGTACGGATATTCGGCTATTGTTGAGAAATTCTGAATACAGGGAGTCCGCATTACTGAAGAAGCTATGAACGGGCGGAAAACACATTGCTCTTAAATAATACTGTCTGCAGTATTAAAATAAATTAGAATATGCATACTATACGCTGAGCGATAAAAACACGCATTCACAAACTATACCTGAAAATTCGCCTTTAATAGCTGCAAGTTTTCGTGCACGTTTACTGGTACCACCAGTAACAGGGATAGCACCACGAAATCGAATAGATTCAACAAGACACTTCGAAGCAGCTGCAACTTCATCCTTTTTTAGTACTCTATTAAACAATTTTTCTAGTCTCTTTTTATTTATATTAGGCGGTAAATTCCCAACAAATAGTGTCCTCGTTAGGCGTTCATTAGACAGTTGTCGATGCTGGCGTTGTAGGCTTAAAAAAGACGACAAAACAGAGACAATAGAATAGTTATAACAACCTTCATAAATTTGCAAAATACAGTAGTCATAATTCCAATGATACTCACAAAACCAGAGAGCAAATAATACCATATTCAGTAGCGTTTTGTCCTATGACATTTCTTTGTTTTTGATGTCTTATTTGGTTAGATAAAATATAAACGAATTTCAGAAATTACTGTTTCAACATAGTAGTTCATACTTTGATCAGGCAGTAACTAGTGTCATGCATCTAGTCCTTTGTTTGATGCAGACTGAATCCTGTCAGTCAAGCTTGCAATGTGGCCATCATGATGTATTCAGAATTGTTATGGGATGGCTGGAGGCAGTCAGCAGGATGATGTGGACCCAGATTTCGCATCTGCAATCTCGAAGGAACTCATTTCAGGTACGCCTTGCTGACGGGTGCCAACAAGCACGAAACCTAGATCCAAGACTTCCTGCCGTTTGCCTCCAACCATCTAATAACAACAATAATGGTTTGTAGTTGCTGATGGAGACGACTTCAGTAAACCGTGAATTCCAGGGAATCCACCCATTATCCTTAAAAAGCATTGCCCAGATGCCAGATATCCTGAAAATCTAAACACGTTTGGAATGAGTTTTCACCTTTCTTATGCATTAGGACTAGTATACATAAACACCTTCTACACAGTAGTTAATTGCGCTGACTACTTCACAGGTTTGTATCATTTGTAATATGTTGGTTCCTTATGAAGTTTTCACACGCCAACATACATACTTTCGGTATATGGAGTTACTTATTGATGGTCATGTACTTCAGACCACTGATGACCAGAAAAGCTTTGTGTGCTTATGTAAGCTTGTGAATGATTATTACTTCCTGGGTGCACATACTATGGAATATTTATGAACTCCTGAAACAAAGGAGAACTAATCCTCCATAACCGCAAAACCCAAAGAACAACTTATTGAGGCTGGTTACACACGGCTCATTTGAGTTTGCTTTTAAAGTTGTGTCTCCATTAAGACTTTACTGTTGGCCACGGACAGCTTCAAATTAAGTTGAGATGCACAATTTCTGAGGTTGACTTTTTCTAACCCTCCTTTCCAAAGTAGAGAGGCAACACAGCTGATCTGATGGTCAACCGATGGAAACACCTTAGTTCTGTCACATCCCTATTTTCCAGCAAAACGACTTCTCCCTCAGACGACGGACACTACAGTCATAACTACTTTTAGTCTAACTGCTATCTTAACAACATTTCCGGTATGGTAGGACCTGCAGAAACACTTTTTCCAACCATTCGTGTCGCTTTGTCATTGAGGCACATGGCCACAGCCACCTCGTCAAGTTAGAGGCTACTTAGTAAACCAGTTTGCTTTGTTTTACGCTTAACCACCGCACTACCCTTTAATTCAACCAGGCGTCAGAAATGTCACAAGAAAAGTTTTGAACGTAAAACATTGTCGGCTTTTGATCGTATGTGCTATCGTTCAATCTCTCGTGTCTGACGGAGCTATATGGTAATTAACTATATGTCTAGGTGTAGTGTGTGGCTAGGAAGGTAAATCAACTGATGACATTTTGAATTTATACCAGTTGAAGTGTCTAGGACATGAAGACATACCCTTTTCACGACAAACAATGTCAGCAGAATAAGGATGGAAAAGAGTTAAGAGTGGCCACACTGATACTTAGAAACTTCGAACAATGTGGGAAAGTATATATTGCCTGATCGGGGTCCTCAGGATGACAGACATCAATGTTCGCAGACTATTAGCGGGATGGTTCGAAACCGTTCTAAATGGAGATGTAACCACCCCTTGTTATTATTCAGATTTTGAAAATTCTTACTAGTCTTCATCTAATTATTCTTTGCCCTGTACATTCTTGTCCATTGTAATTTCATTTCTTTTCGCTACTTTTATATGCTTTTCTTAGGTATGGTGGACTGAACTGCTTTAGATTTGAGCAAAGTGCTGAGTTGATAAGTCAGTGAGTCAGTCAAGGTCACAGGAATAATTAATATTTTGCGTAACTGCAATTTTTAACTTTCTTTGATTATTTTTCGACTGTGTCGTGTAAATTTGCTGTTCCTAACTGTAACATGACAGTGAGCACTGGACTCCTCAAAACTCCGTTACACCATATAAACTTATTGATTAAAGGAATCAAACTACACTACAAAACCCAAGCTTTGTTTTGACATTAATATTGGAAAGATTTTCAGAAAAACCATTCATTCTACTCATACTTCCAAAGTAACGCTGAATTCATAAGTAATACATAGGAAGGCAATGACATCATTATCAAGCTATACAAGAAATTATATATAATTTATATATATATATATATATATATATATATATATATATATATATATATATATAAGGACGAAACTGACCTTCTATCCTGGAAAGTTTCGGTTTCACTTGCACTTTCATCATCACTGGTAAAATATTCTTCATCAACACACTCATGATACCATTTTCTCATTTCTGATTTTTGTATAGCATGTTTGGGTTTCAATGACTTATGTTTAACTGTCATCTTATCCTTTAATTCACTTTTTGGAGTTCCTTTAGAAACTGCCTTGGTCAAGGAATCACCTTGGTTGTGAAGTCCCAGTGAAGAGTCATGTTCTAATTTTCGCTTCTTACACTTTCGCTTAACTTCCCCTTCAGTGTTACTACGTTTAGTTTCATTGCATTTATGGGATGTGATGTGATCACTAGAAATATTTTCATTCTCAATATTGCATGCTGAATCATAATTATGTTTCCGCTTTTTGGTTTTTACTGAGTTAGCAGTATTATTCTTGAATTTAACTTTACTACTTTCATCACACTTTTGTTTGTTTTTGCTGCTGTTTGTTAGCTTTTTCAAAATAACTGTTTCACAAACTTGAGACTTTAACATGGTATCATTCTGAGATGCATTTAGATTGCACGACGTATCCATACTCTCAGCAGTAGATACAGAACTGTATTTTTCTTTATTTTTAATACTTTCTGCCAATTTCTTAAGAACATTCACCTTTTCTGACAGTATGCTAGAAATACTTTTATCGTTACTGTTGTTAGGTCTAAGATCATCTTGATGCTTATGGACTTTAGATTTTTTGGGTTTATTTAAATCTAGTATTGAAGATGGAGAGTCACCTTGTTTTTCCACTATGAATTTAACCATCTTTAGACAGCTATAATCCTTTGTTTATCAAATACTGTGGTAATCGGTTTGGCATTTATAACCTGCAGCTGTAAGAATCAAACACAGAAGAGCCGAATAAAATAACCATCAACATAAAACATTTTGTAAACAAATAAACATGAGCGCTTAACTTTTCTTTTATTATTGACTAGTCGGCATCAGAATATGAAGCTAGGAATAAGACAGTGAAATTGAAAAAACAAACCACAGATTTTTGAATAGACGGATGAAGTGGCATACAGAATCCTCAAAAAATACTTTTGCAGATACCTGATATTCGCCTACAGACTGAGTAGGGAATGAATATTGACTGTACAACTTGCATTAGACGTACAAGATAACATCATGTACAGACATCTTTAAAAATCTTACTTTAACATCAGCAGTTGGATTTGTTGAAGTTTTAATGAGATGTGAAAAATGCACGTAGTTTAGTGAAAAAATCTGGGTGGTTGACAGTAAAAAAAACTTGGATGACAACCAACTTTCTAAGCATCATTCACAACACCTCAAAATTAAAATATCTCCTTTGTACGCTCGTAATATTCAGAACAGTAGTCCTAGAAAAGCGGATCATGTTTTCAGCTTTTAGAAAGCGTTTACCACAAACTTCCTACACAAAAACTTATGCGACTTTGCTTCATTTCCATACGATCAATATCAATCATAAGGAATCCATTATATTTTAACCCTTACTCATTAACATGATTTTTCTGCCTTCATATTTTCAGGTTTCATTGTTTTATTTGTGGGTATTTTATTAACTTGCACCTTGATGAAACGAAGGACTTCAGAGCTTCTGAGCTTAAAAGTAGTGATAGGCAATTACGTAATAAATCTCATATACAGAGTACCAACTGAAGATTTATATGAATTCAACTTTTGGCACCTCTTGTGACAATGTGATATTCTGTATTCTCTCATAAAAACTGACTTATTTTATTATACTGACGCAAGGCATATAAACACTGCCAACGTGAAACATAACGTTATTGAGTAAACCTCAGGTATCATATTATATATGTCCAAACCAAGTTCACTCTTAACAGTTTGAAAAAACTTGGGTATTGGGTATATGATATTCATTATAATAAAGGTTTTTGTATTTTTTACTGTATTATGCTTCACACTTTCAAATCAAGTAGGTATAACAAATGAAGACAAGTGAAAGTGATTGGGCCGAAAGTTATAAATTAGAATAAAAAAGCGCAAAGACAATCGACACTTAAGACATTAAGATGAGGATAAGTTGTGAAGGAATGTATGCAGCAGCAATGGACTGAGCTTTTGTAATTATAGTCTGTGAAAATTGGTTTCAGTTGGGATGGGGTCGTTTACTGAATAACCACTTTCCTAAGCGCCTTACAAGAGTAATCAGTATCCACGTGGGTCCTTACCAAATCCTGATCTTGACAATATTCATTTCAACACAAATAATTCTTAAACTGATAATGCGCTAAAGAGTGGAACGGGCTAATATGCTTGACACATGTCATCGCATCTATTAGTTTATCGACGTTTTTCACTTCAAGCTTTGCGTTCAGCATCTGCATTGTTCGGGAAGTAATAAAAGGCGAAGTTAACCTACAGCTACCACTGTGAATTGATCAAATCGTTAATCACGATTGCCTTGTTTGCATTAAATTCACAATTCGCCTCAATTATCGCGTAAATCAAGGTTCGAGCAAAGAATATTCTTCTCGATAAATTCCTCGTCCAGCTCAACAAGGCTTTTAAAGTTATCCACTGCATTCCGGCTAGCCTTAATTTTGCCTTACGACTTCATCTGTTGCACACTGCTGAAGCCATCGGAATCCATATTCAGAAGTATAACTTATGTATCCAGAAGAAGTTGATTTAGACGCCTCCCTTGACTTTGCCATCGTTATTTAACTATCCTTGATCTGTTGCATAAATTTTCTTGATTTTATCTGATTCTCTATTTAGTATTGTATTTTTTAAGCTTATTATAACTAATGCATCTTTCATGAAATATCATCTTAGAAGATCGATATTATTTTAAAGACAATGGTGTTAATGGCGAGTATTGCAAAATGTATATATATATATACACTTGTGGAACCAGACGAGTTATTCATTAAGAAGACCTCGAACCTTCTTTTGGCTTTTAAATGTTTGGATAGGAATATTCTTTAAGTAGTGAATTACTGGAACAGAACTATGTCGATTAAGGAGTGATGTTGTGCGACTGACAGTTGCATACAGATGTAGTAGTCGTTTGGAGAGGAAATCTCCCTAGCATGGTATTTAAATCCTATAGATAACGCGAAACTACCCTTCACGAAAATTCCATTTATTACGCATCATTGGCTAATACAGAGGCCTGTAACGTCACAGTTGCTGGGACAGTAAACATACTCGTATCAAGAACATTTCCAAGATCCCAGAGATGTGATATGCTGAAATCCTGGTATTCAGAACAGTTTAAGGTGTAGGTGTGATTGTCTATATGAACGAAACCGTGCCAATTGACAGGAATTATGAAATAAACTGCATCTCCAAGCATATCCGCCAATCGCACAGCAATATTCCTTGATTAGCATGGTTGTCGGTCGGTTTGTTCTTTTTTATTTGGTGTGTCTCAGTAGCGTATTTATCACTTCTGCCCTGTGACACGGCAGCAGAAAGCGCGGTCGTTGTTAATCCGGGCCCCGACCGATCCGGCATGATATTTTGTGATTTATTTGAAATCATAGGATTGGATTGGGTAACTGCTTTTAGTCTAACTGCTATCCAAACAACCTTTCTGGTATGGTAGGACCTGCAGGAACATAAGTTCCAGCCAGTATAGCTTGTTGGGTCATTGCAGTGTTCAAGCCCGACCACCACGTCAAGGTAGCAGCTTTCGGTCGGGCATGGTTCTGTCACATACATATGTTTACAATGTCCATTATTCGTGCAAAACAACGGAAAATCAGATTGGGGGTGTATCGCACCCGTTGATGATTAACAGTATGATTGGTTGTTTGCACGTCAATTAGGCTTACAGTGATGGCTGACAAAGTTTAAATTCAAACAACAATGTTCCTTACGGAAACCTAACTGGGTCACCAACTACAACACTAACCATGGATCTAAATCAACTCCTAGAAATAACACAGTCCACATATCGCGATATGATATTTCAAATAATTAATGCGATTTTTAGTACAGATTTCGAAGCATTTTAAAACTATCACGGGGAAAACTGAGCAGGTTAATTTAGCTGATACGTAGACGTGCAATAAAAGACAATACTCTTCATATGCTTCCAGGGTCATACATGGAACTTTTCCACTTGTCCCGAAGCCGTCATCATGATCTCTTTCTTTAATTCAAAGCATATCCATGCCACAATTATAAGCGCTGAGTTTTTCTACAAGGCTATAGCCTATAGGTTTATACAGTAGTCAGTTAAGAATTATACCAATGGTGGTATATTTATCATCCCAGCCTAGTAAACTCCCGAACTTACTATAATGCTGAATTAAATCTCACTAATTCTGAAACAATTCTAACATTTTATAGTAAGTAAGTTCTGAATCTGTTCTGAAATGAATTCTGTAATGGCACAGACCAGAACTCAGTGCTGGTTTTCAGCATGACTGGCACTAACTCAGCACCATGTTCTATTTTAGGCATTTTCAGGAGTAAATGAGAACCAACTGCGTTTGCTTATCAGCATTGTTCCAGCCACCATAGGACAAATTAAGCATGGACTAGCGTTATTTCAGAACGAAAAGACTTAATTCAGCACCCAGCTCTCTTTTTAAGCACAATCAGCGTTATTTCAGAACATAGTGGGTAGATAAAATGTTCATTTACCATAAAAATCCATTATCGAAGAATAGGTTAGAATAAGTTTAGAATTGTTGCTAGCATGGGCTTCTACACCAATCGCATCCTTACAAAAATAGCATGCTGAAAGTACTTATGAATTACGTGTTTTATGCCATTGTGATTTAGATTTCGTATGTCTACGAAGAGATATCAACAAAAACAATATACACTACCAAATGCAATAGAACGTGGGAAACAGCAACAACTGACCTTGAATTGTATTAGTACCTTTTCCAATATCCAATTTACGAGCTCGGACAAACTAGATTTTTTAACTCGCTTTCTTTATATTGAGGAAACGCTTTTTGATCCTCGTTGAGCGTCCATGTGGTTCGTCTTTTCACTCATATGCCGTGGCTTTGATAAACTCTGAAGCCAATGTCATGGGAGGTTGGTTATATTAGGTTCTGAGTGTTGAGACCTAAACCTGATGTGACGTGAGTTAAACCTCTGCATTTTACCCCCCTTCAGGTGTGCTCTAAAAGAGAGATGGCTATTCTTTTGCTTAGTGTGCTCACTGGCAAATATGCAAATGTGAAAGAAAAAAACTAAAGGTCGATATCTAGAAATGAAAACAAGTAAATGAATCGGTAGGCTTTGTGAGCAGAAGACTGTGACAAGGAATCAGGGACGAGTCTGGTTGAAACTTACTGATAAAGTATGTGAGAGTTGCACTGCAGTCGGATTAGGAAGACAGTCTGTTGCACACAGTGCGTGTATTGTTTTTAATAACCATTCTGTCTGGACTCATTAGCTTTTATTCATGTTGATCATTTGAAGAATTGGAAGACAAAAAACGTCTGAAAGACTCTAATAGGTGGACGGCAGACATAAAGACTATGAAAATTTTGTCAAAAGTCAATTAGATCTCTCACCCTATTGTGTGGTTGTGTGGGAGAGGGTTGAAATTCTAAGAAGTAATCTATGTAGGTGGAAAGAGAGAGGTTGATTACTGAATCCTTGTTCATCGAGTCTACACCTAACACATGCAATAGGAAAGACTCATCACCCATACCGGAAATATGGAAAATACTACTACCAATCAAATCAAGTGATGAAAAATAATGGAGTTGTGTTGCAGCGGTGAATAATTCCTCAAAATTATTGACCACAGCAATCATCACTGAACATTGGATGCTGACTCTCACTGTTTAAGTCGACTTGTTTAGCTGAAGGCTTCCGGTCAAGCATCCACGCCATTTGGTACTCCGTCGTGTCACGTTCGTGCACAACCACTAGCCAGCTAAGCAATCATCTCGCACTCCGATTTGGTCCCAAAATATATCTCGTAATTTGGACGATCAATTGTGATCTTCCGCTTTGCCTTTGGTTTAGGCGGAACGAATACTATGGAAGTTGTTGGTATTAGATCTTGCGTTAGTATACTCCGTACAATACGCGAACGTCAATATCGTCAGCCTCTAAAGTGGTGAGCCCAACCGCGAACTTCATCTTTGGTAAATACACAGACAAATCCGGTGAGTTAGTTCCATTTTGTATTTGTTCTTGTACTATTTTCAAAATATATATATTTCATGATGAGTGATCATACTCCTGAGGTCATCTGTATTCGCTCAACTGCCAAAACCATTCAGCTCGTACCATTTTAACCAGATAATGCTGAATCATGGTTTCAGATAGCTGAGTCTGATTTTAGTGAGCATGAATACCTGGTTAACGTTCACAGTTCCGTGCAGTTATTCACGCCCAACCACGGGAATTCAGCAAATGCGTAACTGTGCAGATGTCGAGCCCAGAGGTAAGTAACCCGTAAGAGTTGCTTAAAGCAACCCTCCCAAGGAGAAGCGTTCTCACGGATCGACAGCGTCTGGACGAATTATTTCGCAACGTCGAGTTAGGTGATCAGTCAGCCGTGAGCATGCTTACAAGAATGAGGGAAGTTATTGGCCAACGTCAGTTTGATGAAGGACTTTTCAAAGAACTCTTCTCATCCGAACCGCCACAGTCAGTGCAGGCTGTACTTGTGACACTTTAGGGCGTTATTGTAAATGACTTAGCTTTTTCTGCGGGTAAAATTCTAGAAATAACTAAATGGCCAGTCACTGAAATATGCTCAGTTGCTGAACAGACTTCGAGCAATGATGGAGTTATACAACTCGATCCAGCAGCTGCTTAGGTCAAAAATACCTGCCGTCGTTTGAACTCCCTTCAACGGCGAAACGCACGTGGTGGACCTAAGTCCAAGCCACGTTCACTAAAGAACCTTGACTGGTGCTGGTATCACAACATCTATGGCCAAGAAGCGAAATGTTGCCGAAAACCTTGTAATTTAAGTGATTTCTCAAAGACTGTGGGAAACTATCCTGCAGGTAAGCGTTAGTGGTAACCGTCGCCGGTGTCACTAGCCGCCTACTTTACATTCGTGATGTGATCAGCCAGACCCGATACTTAGTCGACACAGACGCCGAAGTCAGAGTCCTTCCTGCTACAGCAGCAGATCGACAGAAGGAACCTACCTTCAAATTACAGGCTGAGAATGGAAAACCAATTGCAAGCTTCGGTAGGAAATACGTCTATCTGAACGTAGGTTTACGCAAACCTATTCAGTGGATTTTCTTTCTCGCTGACGTCACAATGACCATCATTGGTACGGACCTACTTAATCATCATGATTTACTCGTAGACGTTCGCCGAAAATGACTGATTGACAATGCTACTAGACTGTCTATCAAAGTTATCACCTACGTAGGTCCCAGCTTGTCACTCGTTAAGATGAAGGCAATCGTTGATCCAACTCTCCAACCGATTGTTGATAAATATCCGGAACTTAATTACCGGTCTAACGATCTACCGTGAATAACCAGCCCGTGACACCTAAAGCACGGTAACTTGCTCCTGGCAAGCTGAGAGCCGCTAGAAATGAGTTCGACCATATGCTCACCCTTGGCGTCATTCGGCCACCGAATAGCCCATGGGCATTGCCACTGCATATGGTGCCGAAAAAAAGATAGCAACGATTGGCGACCCACTGGTGATTACCGGTGAGTGAAAGCCAAAACAACCCCTGATTTCTATCCATTGCCTCACGTACACGACTTGTCGGCAATATTATCTGGCGCAACTATATTCTCTAAAATCGACTTGGTTAAGGCGCATAACCGAATCTCGATGGCACCAGAAGATATTCCGAAAACGGCTATCATCACGCCTTTCGGACTTTTTGAATTCCTACGTATGCCATTCGGTCTCGGGAATGCGGCACAAACATTCCAACGCCTCATCGACGAAGTATTTCGCGGTCTCGGCTTTGCATACGCATACTTAGACGACTGCCTCATCACCAGCCCAGACAAGGAAACTCACCTTAGACATTTGGATTTAACATTTGAAAGGTTACGCATACATGGTGTCACCATCAATATTCAAGAGTGTCAGATAGGCGTTGACTCACTCGACTCTCTGGGGCACACCGCTGACTACAAGGGCATTCGCACACTGGCTGGTAAAGTTGAGGCGGTACTGAACTTTCCATAGCCATTGACAGTGAAAAGTTTTCGCACTTTCGACGGCTTGGTAAGTTATTATCGACGGTTTATTCCGAACTGTGCTTCTCTGATTCAGCCGTTAACAGACCTCCTTCGAAGGAATAACAAGTCCATAGAACTCAACGCGTCTGCCCAAAATGCTTTCACTCGGGTTAAGAAAGCTATTGCAGATGCCACACTTCTAATGTATCAGGATCCAACGGCACCGTTAAGTATCCCGGTTGATGCATCAGACACTGCAACAACTAGTTAACAGAGAGTGGCAACCAATCGCCTTTTTCTCGAGGCGCCTTCAATTAGCAGGAACGTAATACAGCACATTTGGCGGAGAACTATTGGCCATTTACTGTGCTATACGTCACTTTCAACATTCGGTGGAGGATCGTGAATTTATAGTTTTCACTGACCACAAACCTCTGACGTACTCTCTGAACTCAGTTTCAGATAAGTATTCACCTAAAGAATCATGACTACTGGACTACGTTTCACAGTTCACATCGGATACTCGCATGTATCCGGAGTGAACAACACTGTAGCAGATGCCTTGTCACGCGTTTGTTCCCTCACCCAAATAGAAAGCCTAGACTTTGTAAAACTGGCTCGTCTTCAAAACGGAGATACCGAGCTTCAACATGAGTTATCGAAAACAACTCTGTAATTAGCCGAGAAACCCTTAGGTATGGGAAGAGATGCTATTCTATGTGACATTTCCACGAGAACTCCTCGCCCCACCGTGCCTAAAAGTTATCGCCGTAACGTCTTCAATACGTTGCATGGCTTGTCACACCCACGTATTCGAACTACCATCAGGCTCGTAACTAGTCGGTTTTGTTGGCCTGGTGTTAATAAAGAAGTAAGGGGATGGGCGAACACATGCCTAGCTTGTCAAAAGCGCAAGGAAGTAAGACATACCAAAAGCTCTCTTGGCACCTTTCTTATACCTGACGCTCGTTTCGAACACGTTCATATAGATTTGGTTGGACTCCTTCCAGAATCTCATAGATATACCCATATTTTAACCTTGATCTACCTTTACACACGATGGCCTGAAGCAGTACCCCTAAGGGATGTATCTGTTGAAACGGCCGCACGCGTCTTTGTGCGACGATGGATCGCAAGTTTCGGATGCCCATCCTCCATAACAGCTGATCGTGGGCGGCAATTCGAAAGCTGCTTTTTCTTCCTACTGACTAAAATCATGGGTTGTATGCATTTTAGGACAACAGCCTCAAGCAAATGGTATGGTAGGGCGTCTACACAGACAGTTGAAGGCTGGTTTATCAGCTGCAAACAGTGCACATTGGACTGAATCCCTTCCGTGAGTTCTCCAAGGGATACGAAACGCCTTGAAAACTGATACTGGTTGTACTACCGCCGAGTTAGTATACGGCACAACACTACGACTGCCAGGTCAGTTTGTTTCTCCCTGCAGCTTCCCACCAGAGGTGGATCACGCCTCATTAGTCAGCAGGCTTACAAACGCAATGCGTTCAGTCAAACCTGCTCCCCTTCAACCACAGTCCATAGAAGCCTTTGTTCAACCGTGTTTGAAGTCTTC